TCTCAAACCATTCAATAATGCTGATTGACTAGTTGGGAGGCTATTACCCCACTTGATAGAGCATGCAGTTTTTGGAAACACATCCTTACTTTGAAGAGCCACTTCACAGCAGCATGGTACAGATTGCTTGGGCTCCTGCTTCAGTCACACCCTTGTCCATCGGGCCAGGCTGCAGCTCTTCCTCTGAGCAAAAGGCTGTTTGGATCCTCCTCTTCCAACCACAGACTGTTTAATTCTACTTTTTTACCCCCTCACAGCTCACAACTCAGTCAAAATTATTAGTTCAGCAATGTAGTTGACCACTTCTGTGCAACACAGATTTTCAGCATGCTTCATGTCTTACGTGATGAGATACGTATCAAATTAATAAAGCCCTTTCTAGATTATAATTAAGAGCACAGACTAGGGCAGCACCAATATCCTAATATTTATTTTTTTGATCCTTATAGTTAGTAATTCCTAACACGGAAGCAGATTTTAGTATAGAGAAAAACAAACAAACAAAAAAAACACCACCACAACCTACAAAGCACTAGAATAATTAATTATGAATTAATTTAAGAATAAGACCATTGCCCAAAGTCAGGCAAGCACACTGACTGAGCACAGAGAAGTTAAGGTTAGAAAAATGTTTTCTCCTCACAGACTTTTTCCACTGGTAAAAAGGACAATGGAATCACAGGCACCCTGAAGGGACAACAACAAGAAGAAAGCAGTTTCCAAATGGCTATGCTAATGCCTTTGATATAGTGGCAATTGCTAAACAGAACAGAAAGAAACACTTGCAACTCTCAGCATTTGATTACTTTCACAAACCAAGTCTGAAACATGAAATATGTAGACAGCAACCCCCAAAAGTTTGAACAGTATCTGAAATATTAATGACCCATCTATAGACGTAAAATTACCACTCAAACATTCACAAGTCTTTGGCCAATTCATTCTGAGCTCAAACGAAGCTAAGTTAAGCATTTCTGTGATCCAAGATGCATGCATTATTTAGCATTAGCTAGACATTTGTTCATTTATGCAGACAGGTGCCAACAGGATTTATGCGAGAGGCTACCCATTTCTGCTTAATTTGAAATGTCCTGTTCTCTCTCTGAAAGCTAAACCACAGTGATTTATATCATTTAGGCAGTCTTTGTATTTTAGCAAAAGCACATTTTCAGAAAGCTACAGTTAGGAACTTTTCCAGTTCCTAAAAGCAAGATATACCTCTGAGCACATCTCCAGAGAACAAGGCTTCAGTGTCTGCATCGCCTCCTCTTGTACACAGGAGTGACTCTAGGTAATTCCATAAGTACAAAACCAGCCCACAGACTTTTCATGGTGCTTTTGTAGCTTTCCTTTTTTTGGCAGAATAAAATACCCACATAAGGGTAGTCTTCTGGCACTTTGGGGGGAAGCTGATCAAAATATGCATCACACACTTTAAAATCCTATATTAATATTCATAAGGAAGACTGGGAAAGAACAGAATGAAAGAGAAAACCTGAGCTGGTAAGGACAAAAAGAAGTGAGAAACTGGAATGGAGGAAAACACTGACAAGGAATTCTCCAAAGGCATCTGCCTTCACTTTCTTTTCCCTATACGCCGTTCCCTGTGCAACTCAAAGGAGAGTTTTCCACACTTCAGGTGTGTGAATGTAGCCCCAGCTATAGGTACATTTCATACAAGTGACTTTTTAACTTAGTTACTTCTAAACTTCCTCTTGGCATCCCAAAGCACTCATGATTTTTCCAGAATTCTTGGGACAGCCACCACAGCCCACTCTCAAAGAAAATTTGAGAATAATTAAAATAGGAAATTCATACTTCCTTATTTAAGCTTCCTCTTGCCCTGCCTCCTGCAAGACACAGAGCACGACTCAGCACCCAGATGGTCTTTGCCCACTGCTGTACTACACTTAGCACTAAGTATGTGGTGACTATGAACTACTACAGCTGATGGCAGTTTGGCTGAACACCACAATAACCAGCCCCAAACTTATAAATATTTGCTATATCCTGAAGGATTTCTGCAAATCTGGGAAATATAGGCCAAATCTGTAGCCTTGATTTAAGTGACTAACATTGCCGTGGGTAATGTTTGCTTTTAAAACATAGGAGAATGATTGATGATTAAAACAAAAACAAGTTTAAAAATTGAACTGCAAACCATCTATTTCCTCCTGTCCAAACAGACCTCAGTAGCACAAAATGTGAGCTAATCCAAACTGTCACATATTGTTGTACTTATTTATCTAGCATTGCTGAAGCCAAGCACTGAGTAGGGGAGATACTAACAGAGGGAAAGGCCAATAAAATTCGTGCCATTAAGCTGAAGCAAATAATTAAATTAATGTATTTGAGGGGGGAAAAAAAAAAAGTAGGTTAAGTAGAAGAATGATTACTGATTAACTAGAAGCAAAAAATAATGCTAATGAAAGAACAATTGAGGAGCCAGAAGAATAAAAGGCAGGAGACAAGAGTACCATGGATGCTCATCTTACAGAGCTGAGCCACTATTTCACCACTTATTTTCTAAAGTACCAGCAAGGAGAAGAACAGGTAAGCAAGCTGGAACTAAGAGCAAAGGGATCACAGAGAACTGGAGAGAAAGTGAGGTAGTGAACCGCGC